CCAAAATTGTTCACCTTGTATCAGCTTTTCTTTTGAGTGAGTACCCCAAAACAACTCAGAGAAGTAGTTCTCAATTGTGGGGAATTGTCCCCACAAGGGATACTTGGCCATGTTTCGAAACATTTTTTTTTCTTTTTTAACTTTTTATTGTAAATTGGGTGAAGATTTACAGACAAGATCATCAGTTTTTCATTCAATAAATTATACACTTTTATCTCAACGATTGCAATCCCCTCCGTGTAACAACAGTCATCCCACTTCCTATGGTTCCTGTTTCCATTTCACCCACCTTCCCATCCCTTCTCAACTTTATCCTTAGGAAAACATTACCCTTTTGATTTGGAATGATTGACCATTCCATGGTGAGCAGACCTCATTCGTGTTGTTGTCCCAACCACTACATACCTTTCTACTACCTACTTGAAACCTGGGTCACGAGGGTGAGTTTCTTTCCAGACCGGGAAGGGGGTCAAGGGCCATAGTCTAAGGTTCCTCCATTCTCTTTCCGACAAGTAAACCTGATATTTCTTATTTTTAAATAATGTTGTGTTTTATTCCACATGTTTGGGACCCTCTAATGTGATCCCTTTCAGGGCAGTCGGTAGTGGTAATCGGACACCATCTAATTCTTCTTGTCTCAGAGTTGTGGAGACTGATAGTCACAGGTTCCATCAGTCCATTGGACTAATTGATTCCAAGCCTCTTCAATTCTTAACCCTCTTCTGTTTTTGACTGTCATGACTGGAGGAGAGTTACTGCTGGTGGTTAGTGGGTTGAGGCCCAGGATGCTGCTAACCATCCTTCAGTGCACAGTTCAGTTCCCACCACAAAATGCCAACAGTACAAAGAGTGAGCGACTCTGACTAGAGACTTAAGGAGGTTTCACCTTCTGCTAAATCATTAAAATGATGAGCAAGTGGGTTTCACATAAACTGTGTCCTTGACATTTGTTTCTGCCCTTTGAAATGGTCACAGGGGAAGGGAGGGGCCATTAACATGTAAAGATTTGAATCCGCCTTCTTATCTATGAGACGTCTATATAGACTTCCAGAACTTTCCCAAGTTCTCAATGTCTGCATCTCTCTGCTGGGCTGCTGCATCTGCAAAGCTCCTCGGTGCCAAGCTTGCAGCTGTGTGACTTGTCGCAGAGAAAATTCCCAGGTGACCAACTGCATCTCTTACTTTTCTTCAGGTGTTTGTGTAGAGTTTCAGCAACCACAGTCTCAGAGTAGAACGATATCCTCAAATACAGTACTTAACAAAAATAAAAACAAAAGACATTCAAAACATACGTTTCACATATCGTCTAGGTAGGCATTTGCCTTGCCATTTAAATATTTTTCGGGGAAATATGTAGCCTGGCTTAAATGGCATGACTTTTCAGCAGATCTGCATTACTCGTAGTGGATAGTTTTAGAAAACACAACATTGTGGAATGAAAACCTTCACATCTGAGCATCAGATGCGAATGTTCGAATAGTGCCTGGAAAAATGTAGACACATCCCCAGATGCTAAGATCTTTGATGCTTTGAAGCTGAAGGTCCCCTTCTATTTCTAGGTGAGCAATTTAATGGCATTTAGTTGTAGGCTCTAAGAGCACTGGGATCTGCAGAGGGTCACTGATACATTTTGACTTGTCATTGTTGCCATTAGCAATGGATGGATTCTCAGAAGAACTGGACATTGCAGTTGTTTGAGCCTCACTGAAACTTAGTTGAAATCCACCCACCTTGATCAGTTTCACTCCTATTCAATGCCTTCCTTTCCCTTCCCTTTTCATCTTTCTGTCTTCTTCCCTAGTCCATCTTGCCAGTCCTTAACAGTACTTAACAACAATAAAGTTGGGGAGAAAAACAGCGACAGTGGTCAACTTAGCCTGGGGAATAACAGTCCCCCACCCCCCACCCCCATTGTCATTTATGTGGATCTCAGGAATTTTTAGCACTTTTTTTTTTATGTCTTGTTATCTGGTAATTCTTTAAACATAGCCATATATTTCTGATACTTCATACCAGATCTGAGTTCAGTTGTATCCAAGACCTATGAGGGGTCTAATATTTTTTAATATAAAGATTCCATCTTCATGTCAAAAATGTTGTGAAACCCAGCTGACCAGAAAGGATACATCTTTGGATGAGTTAACATGTAAATTCATGAATCCCTTCTAATTATCCCATGCTCACAGTCTATCCCCACCACACTCACCCATGACCCTGGGTCGGGAACCAGTCTCACTGAATTTATTTTGATGGTGAATGTTGACTGTGACTCAGTCACAGCATTTTGGGGACATAAAATGGTTATCATAATTTTAAATTGTGAGTTGAGTGGAGGTTTACAGACAGGGTCATCTGTTTTGCATTCGATAAAGCATCCATTTTGTTTTATCTTAATGATTGCATCCCCTCCATGCAACAGCAGTTATCCTGTCTCCTCCCTGTGGTTACACATGTACAAATATCCTTTTTAGTAGGATATGTATATTGTCATTAAGTACCATTGATCAAGTCAGTTCCAACCCATAGTGACCCTATATAGGTTTCCCAGGAGCATCTGGTGAGTTTGAACCACCAGTACTGACCCTACAACACCACACCAGGAGTGGAATACATACATATACTTCAGCTCTCTCATGCTTCAGACATATTGTCAGGAGGAACCAGTCACTGGAGAAGGATATCATGTTTGTTAGGGTAGAGGGTCAGAGAAAAAGAGGAAGACCTCCAGTGAAATGGCAAAATGGCAGAATCGATGGACTCTGTAGTGAGGTTGGCCCAGGATCAGGCAGTATGTCGTTCTGCTGTGCATAGGGTCACTATGAGTCGGTACCAACTCGATGGCACCTAACAACAATAACAACAACCTATGTTCCACTCTTCCTCCCATACCCATTCAGCCTATGTCTGTCTCTGTCCATGTATCTACACACAGAACACTCTTGTTCCAAGGTTGTGCGTACATCACTCTTTAGCCCCTGCATACTTCCTTGTGTCTTCACCATTCTTCTGCCACCCTCCCTCTTCTTGTATATTGCCCTCCTCCCTCGTGTAAAATGCCCTCACCATCACCTGAGTTGACATGTGTCTACTCTTCAGGTGTGGCACTTTAGAATAAGCACTGGACCCCAAGGTGGGCAGTTCAAACTCAACAGCCATTCCTCAGGGTCATCATGCGTCAGAACCAACGCAGTGGCACTTACGTAACAACAATAACCCTGTAGCCATGAATTACTCTTTCTTCCCTCCAACTCCTGGAAACCATCAAAGAATGTTTCTTTTAGTATGCAAACTTTTTCTTAAATTTTCACAATAGTGGTCTCATACAGTATTTGTCTGTTTATGACTGATTTATTTCGCTCAGTGTTACACCCTCCAGGATAATCTAAGATGGTTATTTGAGATAGACTGACTCTCCAATCTGAATGACCGGGAAAGCCTGGAGAATTCCACGCTGTATATCGGCTACCACAATTTCTAAGTACACAGAATAAACTTAGAAATCAAGGAGAAGGAGTCTGAAACCAATGAGAAGTTGGGAAATACAGTAAGGCAACCACAGAGAGTTTTGTAAATGTAAGATGGAAGGGAAATAAATAAAACAACAGCAGCTGAGGTCTGTTAAATGACCATCGTTCTTTTATTGTTAACGGCTGTGTTGTGGGATCCTGGCGTGGTGCTGTGGGCTAATGCACTAGTTTCAAGGTCGGTTTGTACTACAGGTATGTGGTTCAAGCTCACCAGCTGCTCCTCAGAAACCCCATACAGTGTTGCTATCAGTCAGAACCGACTTGACTGCACTTAAAGTGTTGTGGTTAAGAGGGTTCCGACTCATAGCAGCCCTGTAAAGGGTTTCCGAGGATCAGCAAGCAGGTGGATTTAAACTGCTGACCTTACAGTTAGCAGTCCAGTATTTACCCTACAGTGCCACACCGGGGGGTTTAAATAAAAAAAAAGTTGAAAGCATGTTTCAAGAGAAATGTTTAGGTGAAAATATTTCCATTCACTCGCCTCAAAAAGAGAAGCATTTCTAGGTGAAAATAAGAGTATCCCTCTGTTTGAGCTCAAGCAGGAAGTTTTGAGAACTGCAGTTGGGAAGCAGAGGAGGCAGAGAAGCTTGGGCATCTGATTGATGCTGGGGCTTCGTCTCTGCAATACCAGCTCTGTCAGAGCTTTATGAATTTGACTGGTTACTTAACTGCTGTGAGTCTCAGTGTTCTTGATCCAAGTGAAAGAAAGATCCTCTCCACATTATGAAAATTAAATAAGACCGGTTTCATCAAGTGTTGGGTTCACTGAATATATTTTGGGAAGACCACCCTATACATATCAGATTTATTCAGAGGTATAGCTTGCCTATACAACTATGAGTCCTAACTGACTTAACAGCACTTAACAACAATAACAATAGCTGCATTTTATATGCACTGAAAGAGAACCAGACAATGGTTACAAGGCACATGTACTTTTTAATTCTTAGGCATATCTGCATGGATGGCTTGTTATTATAAGATTAAACTGAACTCAAGTTTAGTGAAGATTTGTAGCTGGAGTACTAATAAGGAAATCCAAAAGATAAGATGCAAGATTTGATGTCAAGGTCATTATCCAAAATGATGAGTTCTTTGAACTTAACAATCTCTGGTTCTTTTCCCATCAGAACACGCACATTTGAGTCTTCCTTTTTTGTCATTAATAATTGTGGGACCATAAGCATGTCTTGTAATTTTAGTTTTTCCATTGGTACAATGCACTGCTAATATCTGTCCAGCCTGTTACACAGGGCTGCGGTAAGGATTCAATGAGATGCTCTTACAAGATCTTTGTGAACTCAGTGTACCAAACAGCACTAAGGAATTTGTATCATTGATGTAAGATTGATGAGTTACCTCGGCTGCCATGATATAAACCACAGTGGCCCAGTCTAGTAACAAGCAGAGGACTACTAAAGGCATTTGCTAGCATTTCTTATGATGCACCCTTTCCTTTTTTTTCATGTGTAGTTTGGAGCTGAAGTGGTCTCATATTGAATGGTCACAGACTGAGTTTGAGGTCTGTGAGAACGTGGGAGTGTTGCCTTTGGAAATCACCAGAAAGGGGTATTCCATGGACTCAGCCTTTGTGAATGTGAAGGTAATGACTTTCAAGTATAAGTGGTCAAATTCAAAATTATTCTAGTGTTTGGTGCCATTGACTCTTTTCTTAGAAAGATTCGGAGTGACCAAGGAAACTCCATTCTCCAAAGGTGTCAATATTCTGAAGATTCTAAGTTCAAAATCCTTTTGCCCCTCCATCCTTCATCTGTGTTTATTACCTTTTAGATGTGGTGCTGTGAGTTAATGCACTAGCCTGCAAGGTCAGTTGGTGGTTGAAATTCACCAGCCACTCTTCAGAAACTCTATACAGGCTCGCTATGGTTCAGAACCAACTCGACGGCACTTAACAACAAGAAGAAGATATGATTTTTCAAAGCCACTCTTTAATCTTTAAATCTGGTTATCTGGTTTTATAAACACTTACAGTTTTGAGGTCTTATTTAACAGGGAAATATATGCAACCCAGTGAAGCTGAACCAAATTCTGCTTTGCAAATAGAAGTTAAATACAAGAGATGCATCAAGATATTGTCTCCTTTGTGGGGTACCCAGAACATAGTTCAGTCCTAGAGAGTTTCCTTAGTATGTGCCAAGATCATTTTCCCTGGATTAGGTAAATTAGGAGACTTAAATCCTATGTTAAGAGTAGCCCAAGTCACATAAAATTAGAATATAATTCACACAGGCACCACAAATCATAAGGAATATCCAGGTAATCTTCCGGATAAATTCATCAGCTTAGTTTTCTTCCTATTTCCATAACCATTGAGCACTGTGGCTTCTGGAGTTGAAGGTTTTTTTTAGACGTTCCTGTAACACTGTCCTCTGAAGTTGCTGTGAGAATTGGCTTCACAACAGTAGAACAATAGCAGAAGCCTTGGATGGTCCAAGCAGCTAATATGCTCAGTTGCTAACCAGAAGGTTGCAGGTTCCAGCCCACTCAGAGCTGCCTCCTAAGAAAGCTATGGTTAGCTACTTCCCAAAACATCAGCCATTAAAAACCCCACAGAGCACAGTTCTATGCGGGGTCACCATAAGGTGAACTCATATCAGTGTCAGCTCAATGGTAATTAACAACAGCACTTAGAGAAAACGAGGACATGGAAGTCTGGACCAAGGGCCATGAGCCTTAAAGACCCCCTCAGCAAGCCAGTGACAAAGACACATCATCTTTTGGGAAAAGTGCCACCCCTCTTTAGTCTGAATTCTAATCAATTCAAAATGCTCCTATAACCTTGTACATGTAAAATCTGTGATGTCACACTTTGAATTTATCTTTTCAGCAGACATAGGCCCTGTTCCTCAGCTCTGGTCTTACTCTATTGTTATTAAGACAGCAGAGAACTTGGTACGCCCTATAATTGTCCAACAGCCATTCCATCATTGTTTATGGAAGAAGACATAACCTGCCTGGGTGATTTTCTAGTAATCCTCTGGTGCTCTATAGAAAGCACCATGTGCTCCAGTCTGGAGTGCTGGGCCCCACATCTGTTCGCCTGGACAGGTGGGCAGAGCATCCATGGTGTTACATGGACCCTTTTGTCTACCTATGGAGAATGCACACCTTTGTAAAGTGGAGTCCTGAATCTTCCAGGGACAACTCTGCCGAGGGCACAACCTGCCTTTTTGCACAAGAGCTTGTTGGCTGCTTGACCAGGATCAGGGAAAGGAGAAGATGCTTTCACCTCTGCTGTCTGCCCTGGTTTGAATCATGCCCCATCACTTCATAATGTCCTCCAACCCCCTTGCCTCACACGATTCCTTTTCCCAGGTAGAACACTATCAACTCAGTGATGCTAAATATGAGGCAAGTGTGCATTCAGGAACCAAGCAGGGAACTGTAATTCCAGCAGATGGTGGGTACAGGTGTATGGTGGACCACCTTCTCACAAGCTCACAAGGGGAGGCGGTGCAGGGGGAGCCTTGGTACTGTGGACAAACAGCACATGGAGACCTAGGTGGGGATACCCTTCTTCTGCCAAAGGGTTCTACTGCAGGACCACTGAAAACTTCTAGGGCCATGGACCTGAAATGGAGATGCTAAGACCACAGAAAGAGGAATTTTTATGTTTTAAATTATGTACTTCGTTTCTTTGTAATAATGTAGAGAAATATATTAATCCACTTTCCCACGCATCTTAAACTGCCTGTTGTGTTTACAAAGGAGTCTTGGTGGCACATCAGGTGCTAACTGAAAGACAGTTCAAGTCCACCAGTTGCTGCTCAGGAGTAAGACCGGGCAACCTGCCTGATGGGACAGTTCTGCTCTGTCATACAGGGTCCCTATCGACTTGACGGCACACAGCCTCTTTGTACTTACAAGGGTTCTCATTTGATGGCCTCTCCAAACAAGCTCCTTGGTACTTAGTGCCGTTTTAGGCACTCCCTGGGGGGAACTTAGAGCAATGGGTTCATTACATCACTTCTTGGGTTTTTCATTCTAGAGCTGGAGAGCAGAGTGGTAGTCCATACCCATGTAAAAATCCACTGTCAGCTCATAGATGCATTGTCTTTGCTTAGTGTTTACCATGCCTGGGGATCCCACAATCCCTCATTCACACCCATGAAGAGTGATGGTATCATCCAGACAGGGAAATGGACCAGACTTGGTTTAGATGATCTAATCTAAAGGTCTGAAGGGTTTCTGTGCCCCGGAGCATGCAGGATGCTCCACGCTGGCATGATGCCCACCCCTGTGGTCAGCACACAGGTGGGCAGGAGTGCTGTCAGACTTTCATCCTCTTTGCTTCTTCTGCACTCTGACCTCCAAGGCACTGTTTTAAAGTCAGGTTGGCATGGAGAGAAGGTAATGAAATAAAATTTTACTCAAAGCAAAGAATTGTTGTTTGAAAATCATGTGGTATTCTCTAATAGCTGAATCATTTGTAAAAGAGAAGCAAAAAGTGTTTTGTCTCTACAATTGTTGTTATTACGAGCTGTCAGGTTGATTCTGACTTAAGTCGACTCTGTATAGGGTTTCCCAGGCAGGAAGTTAACTTTAAGGAAGATCTGTATAGTGCGGATCAAAAACACTTTATATTGAAAACAGATGTAAGAGCCTGAGTTTTGTCTAGTATGATGATGGAGACACTAGATACTTCTATTTTTACAGAATATTCACTTTTATTTAAAAAAAGACATTTTCTTCTTCTTTAGGTCAATCCAGTGTCAGCTACAGTTGGGAAAGATTTCACTGGGCCTCCCTCTAAGCTGATTCAGTTTGACCCAGGTACGTTTTGTGTCTACAGTTTGTTTGATGTTTTTGTAGGAAACTCTGGGAATTGTGGAGAGGATCAGAACAGAATGCAATTCTATCTACAAAGAAACTCCTCAGGGCATTGAGAGAGATATGAATTTGGACTTGAGGTTTTGTCTCTTGTATTTTTTTTTCCTGTTTCCTCTATTATTAACATCTTCTATTCCTGCAGTGCATGTATTCATTGGGGTCACTCTGTGGTATATAGTCCATGACCAGTGCATAGTAACTTAAGTTCACCGCTACAGTACCAAGCAGAGAAGTTTCATAACCCTAAAAATATCTTGTGCTTCACGTATTCCACCCAGCCCAGCCCTCTGAACCCCTGGGCTTTTTCCTGCCTCTGTAATTTTGCTTTTTCCAGAATGTCATAGAATTGGAATCACACAATATGAGGCTTTTTCAAACTGGCTTCTTTTGCTTAACAATATGTATTCAAGGTTCCTCAATACCTTTCTGTAGCTTGGTAGTTCATTCATTTTATTAGTGAATACTACTGTGTTGTGGAGTCCTGGTGTGCAACTGTAGGATAAGCACCGGATTGTTAACCATAAGGTAGGTGACTCAAACCCACCAGTTGCTCCTTGGAAACCCTATCCAGGGTCACTCTGAGTTGGAACTGACTCCATTGCATAATTGTGCTTGTTTATCCATTTCCCTATTGAAGGTTTTCTTGGTTGCTTCCAACTTTTGGCAATTGATATAGATGCTATAAACATTTCTGAGTAGGTAGTTTTACAAACATATAAACTCATTTGGGTAAATACTTGCTGGATCATGTGAAAAACAAAACACCTGCCAAAGGGACTGTGCCATTTTGCATTCCCACGAGCAATACATGAGAGTTCTTGTTGCTCCACATCGTGGTGCCTGGCACTTGGTGTTGTCAGTGTTCTGCATTTTAGCCATTCTCCTAAGTGAATAGTGGCATGTCATTGTCATTGTAATTTGCAATTCCCTAAGAGCATAATGTTGAGTCATTTTGTTTTTTTCAAGTGCTCACGTGAGGTCGTCTTTGGCGATGTATCTGTTCAGATCTTTTGCCCATTTTATAAATGATTGTTTTCTTAGTGTTGAGCTTTTAAAGTTTTATATATTTTGGATAAAAGCCTTTTATCAGATACTTGTTTTATACCTATTTTTCCCAGTCTGGGCTTCATATTATAATTTCAAGTGAATATTCATCTAAAATAAAAGGAAAAATCCCAACAAATGACAAATTTTAAACATCGAAGCAAACATCAAAAACAAAAAACAGAGGTGAAAAAAAAATGCCTCATGGAAATTTTCAAAATGCTATATCCATTTGTGCTCTGAAAGGGCATTCATGAGTAATTCCTCTTAGACTAAGTTGTTAGGAGGAGACACCAGGGGACATACTGCTTAATTCAATGGCTTATATATTTGTTTTAAATGTATAGAGAAAAATTTTGCTAGGTGTATGGATTTCAAAAGTATAGTGCCTACTCTCAAGAATGTTCCATCATCTGGAAGATAACAACATATCTGGTGATGTAGCAGATCGAAGGATGAGCTGTGATTCTGGCTAAGGGAAAACCTGGAGGGTTTCCTGGGGAAGGTGGCATTCTGAGACAGGAACTCCAGGCTGAAAGTTGAGCTGAAAAGCACTTACACACCAGTGGACCAGTGGGGAGCTGGGGTTAAAGTCCAGGCTTCTATGAAGGGGGGGGTGTGTGTGGTGTGGCCCCACATCACAGCCCGACAGGGCTCTTTCTTCCCATGGTATGGGCTGGATTAGACCACTTGTCCAGAGAAAAATATAAAAGTCCTTGAGAAGTAACCAGGGCTGATGGCTTTGTGCTTTCCTGCAAAGGAGGTGTTTTGTACTCTGAGAGTATTCTACCACACACGTTTAAACTCTTGTCATTTTGACATATTGCAGGGAAGGGTAAAACAAAGGGGCCTAAAACCAATACCATCTCAAAATTGACAACCATAGCATTAGACACAGGAAAAGAACTGCCTTTTGTAGTTCACCACAAGTAGTGTGATGAACCTGAAATTCCCCCTTATTGTTTTCAGCCTCTCTCCATACATAAAATGCATAGTGTTTAACTTTCTGATTTGCATAAGTCAGTCCCTTGGGCTGACCACACACTGTGGGAAGAGCAATTCCCTGTATCTGATGTCTACTCTGAGCTTGCTATGAGTTCTTCCATTCTTTTCAGCCTTTGAAAAGAAGGGGTTTGATGCATTTGCACTTTTCTGTACTTGACGTTAAGGCAGTTCCAACTTTCCCCACTTTCTGAGACTCTTTGCCGTTAGGCCTTTATTAGTACCTGAGGCAAGTTTGTCACAGGATCAGGAATGATTTTGGCTTCCGGTAGGTCGTGAGCAGCCCACCAGGTGTTCTGTTTGGATTGATAGGAACTAGAATGTATCACGCTAGGGGAGGCTCTGTAACTAGCTTAGATACTAATGACTTCTGGGGACTGTAGACAGCCTTATGATTTAGAGATTATTTAGACATTTTAGGAAATAGTGTAGGCATATCTTATAACTTTACAAAATACTTGATTCATATTTTGCTATTTATTAGCCTGAAAGAGTTTCATGAAGTGAAGTCTTGTTTAGAGACTTTTCAAGTCCCCCATGTCCACTTGTCCTGTAAATGTTCACTGATGGATGTTTATTATTGTTTATATTGTGAATCTTTGCCCCTTTAGGGTCTGGTGTTTCCTCTCCTCTTTGGCCCAGAGTATTCTGTTGTACATATCTTTTTAAATAGCAGCTTTGATGTTTGATGAAGAAATGAGAGTGAGCCATCAAAAACACTAGGATATTTTATGTTTGGGACACTTGGGAGGCAGCTGGGGGAAACTGACTGACTTTTCAGTCTAGTAAGTTATACACAAGTAACTGTGAACCACAGGGTCAGTAGTTTGAACCCACTGGCTGCTCCTTGGAAACCCTGTATAGGGTTTCTTAAGAAAGTTTTTAAGAAGACAATTCCTTTCCTTTAAAATATGTTTTCTTGAAAGGTAAGCTGCATTCTTAACTAGGATTCCATCATTCCTCAGCATCAAAATGTTTTCCAAAGGAACAAATCTCTAGTGTGGCGTTTACTGAAAAGCACTGAAACAATGTCTCTCAGTAGAGAGATCTGCTCTGCAGGAACAGACCCAGGAATCTGCCAGTTCCCTACAGTGGATCAATCTGCATAAACTGACATTTCCTTTCCCCTTTTCAGCGCCTTTTGTTTTGTAGGAACAGGAGGTCAATTTCAGCCATCTGAGACACCTACTATATCTCAGTGTCTTAGCAAATACTTTGCACCTTGAAAATGGGGGTGGAAGGAAAAAAAAAAAAAGAAAGCTCTTACTTCCAATCTCATTAGCCTGAAAAACAGGAGTAGTCCTGTGCACACACCTGGTAGACATAGAAATGAAGCTGAAATGTGGACAAACACTTCAGAAGCGCTTACATGAAACTTGGAGGAGGTTTGCTCTAACCATCTGGTTCTACTCCATAGGGTCCAAGAAAACAAAGTTTGGTTGTTTTGTTTCTGGATATATATTGTTGTTGTTAAATGCTGTTGAGTTGGTTCTGACCCATAATGACCCTGTATAGGATTTGCTTGAACCTTGCGGTTCAAACCGACTTTGCAGGCCAGCACATTAACCCACAACCTCACACCCAGACTCCATATATATATGTTGTTAAGTGCCTTCTAGTCAGTTCTGACTCATAGCAACCTTGGATAGGGTTTCCAAGGAGAAGTGGCTGGTGGGTTTGAACTGCTGACCCTGTGGTTAGCAGTCCAGTGCAACACCACACCAGGCTCCATCTATATATCTTTCTCTCTATATATATCTATATCTAT